GAAAAAGAAATAGAGTGCTTACAGCAAGCTATGTTCTTATCTCTCTCTGCCTGTCTATCTTCAAAAATAGATGGAAGAGTTAACCCTCAATTATGGAGCCAGACAACATGCACTGGCTGAGTTAGGGTAAGCAATCCTACAACTGACCCTGGGACTTTGGGAGACAGAAGATGGAACCCAGTCCCTGTCTCAGAAATAACTGTTTTTCAACTCACACAATGCACCAGCCTTTAAATGATATATCATTTAATGAATATGTCATGTAAATAGGACCAGCCAGTGGCTGCCGGAGACCCACCCTAATCTTGAAGCAGAGACAGTTTCAGTGATCTTTGCAAGAACTACTTGGTCAATGGATATACAGTCATGAGGACACCTCCATTTTTCACTTTGGAAAGTAACTTTTCCAGATAAAACATCATTTTTAATAAAATATTAATATAAATAAATATTCATATAAGATCTTAAAGATTTTTAAAGCTTGTCTGAAGCATGGAGTGAGAGAGGGAAGACTGATGAACTGATAGTTGAATCACATATACCCATGTTTGTTATTTCTGTCTTATAGCATTTTTAAAAGCTGCTATTCAAAACAGAAGCGTTTTTTTTCACTTTATAATATTTACTTATAAAAATATCCCTCTCCAAAGAACCTTGCAGAATCAGATGTGGGGTACAACTTGCCCAAAGAGTCTCACAGAACCTCTGGACAAGGAAGGTTTGGAATATTTATCTCCCAAATCCAAATGCAAGTCATATTCTCAGCCAGTAACTCCACAGGACAAAATTCTGATTTTTTTTTTTAGATTTTTTATCCCACTTTTATTATTTTTATAAATAACTCAAGGCAATGAACATACCTAATACTCCTTCCTCCTATTTTCCTCACAACAACAACAACCCTGTGAGGCAAGTTGGGCTGAGAGAGAGCGACTGGCCCAAAGTCACCCAGCTGGTTTTCATGCCTAAGGCAGGACTAGAACTCACAGTCTCCTGCTTTCTAGCCTGGAGCCTTCACCACTAGACCAAGCTGGCTCTCCATTTGGGCAGAATTTGGTTCTTCCAATCCAGCAGTAGTCCTAGAGTTCTAATGTGGCTCAGGTAGAAATCCTCCTAAACCTGAGACATTCCTGGAAACCAAAAGCCTTGACTGAAGCTTTTCTGTCTCTATCTACTCTCTTAGGGGAAAATCACAAGTCTCAGGAGAGATGACTTCCATGGTACATGGACAAAGGGGAGGAAGCAGACCATGGAGAAATGTGTCTCCACTGAACTGAATAAAAAAGCAGTGTGCTGATGGGGGAGGCAGCAACAAGAAAAGAGGGAGTTTAATTTGGCCACAGAGCTGATGTGGCTTGATGGATTAGATTCCTGCTCACTCAGAATGATGGAGGGAGGAGGCAGCGCTGGAGAGAACCAGCGTCCCTAAAGAGCCAAGACAAATGATCTGTGGCACCGAAATTTCAATCGATTCTGACTGAAGACCTGATTCCACCTGAGAGAATGCAAAGCATTAATGCAACAAGCTTATTTATTTGGGGTTAGCAGGCCAGGCGGCAGAGAGAGGCAATGAGGAAATTACACTTAGGCATATGCTGGATCTTTCAAAGAACGTTCTATACCCCGTCCCCCCAGCATTTCTCTCCCCCTGAGTGCTATGTTCTAACAGAGCAGTTTTTTCCATTCTGGCACTCTCCATATCTTCTTGATTGCCAATCCCATCATCCTCAACCAGCATGGGATAATGGCAGTGGTAGTCCAACATTTTGGAAAATGTCTAGTTGGAGAAGATTGCAAGTTACTATCCTGCCTTCAGGTCCTCAACTAGAATTCCCTGAAGAAGTTGAAGATATCCCAGGGAAGTAGGGGTAGGGAATGGGAAGGAGAGTACACAGGATTTCATGGTGTGTGTGTGTGTGTGAACAATCTCAAAATGGTGGGCACCACCAGGCAATCGAAGCCCCACCCCTTTTAATATGTGTTGGACACATCTCACACCTGTAAAAAGAGGTGGGACTTCAATCATCCAGTTGTGCTCACCATTTGGACATCATTGGCCCCTTGTGGATACACCTGGCAAAGCATATAGACCAGCCAGCATATAAGGGACTTCTATATGACACTATCCCCACTCCCCAATTCCTCACAAAGTGGTTTGAATCTGACCTGTTGCAACTGTCACTTATGCTGAGCTCAAAATGTTGAGAAAATACAGGGAACACCATGAGCCAATCAGTGTCCACCTCTAACTGACCAACAGTACAGTGTGAAAAAGTCATCCAGACAGTGTCAGTTCCCAAAGGCCATATCCCATCCACATTTTCAGTCATATTGGCCCCAGTCCCACAACACACTTAAATGGGTTAACGTGGGGGTAAAAGTGTTATGGAAATGCCAAAATGCTAGTCACCTAACTCCTGGAGGGTTAAAGCGTAACTAACTAACTAATAACTAACTAACCAGATCCAACCATGGATAGGATTAAACTAATTCCAGAAGTGCTATGAAGACATCAAAATCCCATTAGTTAACCTGTTTTATATATTCACTCCTAAAAAGAAAAAGAAGCTAGATAGAGTGATGGCCTGAAAAAGTTATGGTTCCATTGTACAGCATCTCACCAAGACTTGCTGGGACAGGAGAAGTTATACCTCCTAAACAGGGAATTACTGTTTACTGCTGCTGCCCTAATCCAGGGGGAAGGGCTAATGGTACCACAGAGCCTTGTGAGTACTCTTCTGATGCAAGGGCACATGGAATGCTAGGCATTTCCTAGGATCCTGCGTTCCCCAAATGATGATATTTGACCCTCTTAGGAGGACTGTGCGCCACCAGAGTTACTAGTAAGAAGATCTGACTGAGTTGGTAGGGGATTTGATTAAGCACGTTGTAGGAACAAGGCTGTTACAAGCATTTTTCTGGTGCTTTGCAATAAATGAATAAATAAATCTGAAAAGTTGTTATAAGAAGAAACTTTCCAGCACCAAAGTTGTCATTCCTCTGCAGCGCTGAAAAACCTCTTGCAGATTATGATGTCAAAATGACAGCACATTGGCATTTTTTGCAACTAGGCATGTTTTCCAATACCTTAATCCTGGTAATTTGCTGCTGTGACAGCTGGAGTGGGAGGAAGGTGGGGAGAGAGGCTTTGTTTAGAATGCTTTCCAATGGGCATGAGGAAGAGATGTACTCTAGGAGTTGGGTAATGGTTGCCAGAGTCCAGAACTCAGGAGGCAGGTGAGACAAGAGTTCCCACCTATAAAATAATGGTCCACTCATAAACTCTGCATAGCAAATGGAAGTAATTGCTTTTAGTGTGATTTCTGATGTAGTGCAGGTAAGCCAGAAGAAAAAAAAAGATCACCTGCCAAATACATATACCAGTGTTTCTCAACCTTAGGAACTCTAAAATGTGTGGATTTCAACTCCTAGAATTCCCCAGCCAGCCATGCTGACTGGGGAATACTGAGAGTCAAAGTCAACGCATCTTAGAGTTGTCAAGGCTAAGAAACACTGACATATACTATTATGAGATGGTAAAGACATGAAAGTACTTTTGGAGGGTGAAAATTAAGTACACTGTTTATATAGGTGATTTCAGTGTGTTAAACATGAATCTATTTTACAAATGGTAGTCAGTTATTCCAATACAGCAGTGTTTCTCAACCTAGGCATGCTGGCTGGGGAATTCTGTGAGTTGAAGTCCACACAGCTTAAAGGTTGAGCAACATTGCAATAGAGAATCATTCCAAGGAGTGAAAATGGACTTATGGAGCCTGACAAATATGTTCCCTAAAGTTCCTAGTCTCTAGGGGAAAAAACACACGCACACACACACACAATCAACAAAAGGATGATATGTTAATACTAACATCATCACCACCATCATCATCATCATCCTTATCCTTATTAGTAGTAGTAGTATCATACAATACACAGTTTAATACAAAAAAGGTTGATATTTATTACTGGCTGATATTTAGTCACATCTGTTCATGTTTGGGTGACGTATTGTGCCATATTGTGGCTTGCCTTATCCTGTAATCCAAATTTAGACCAAGGTCAAGATAATGATTATAATAGAATGCCTTGATCACAATCTGTAATTACAGCCTGGCTTTTGTTAACTTATTTTATCCACAATCTAGTATATCATCCAAAATAGGGATTTAACCAAGAGTCAACTTTACTCTCCATATTCTAGATATAGAACAAAGTCTACTGCAAGAGACTTGCTACTTCTCCAGCTTTGTTTTCACTCTCCACCATGGTTGCATGGAAAGTAAATCTATTTTTATTTATGCAATTTACCCATCAAGGAGACAGAGAGTGGGTGAGATCAACCCTCTCCCACTCCGCATGCGATGAATCATCTCTCAAATATCCCTCCCCCCATTCTTTGGAGTTTTGTTAAAGAACTGGCCATCACAAAGGTGGCTGGCTTATTGCTGAAAAAGAGGAGGACTGGCAATCTGTTGTCAGTTATGGTTTGCTCTGCTGTTTGATCATATGTGTTCTGAGCCTCAGGGATGTGAATGCCACATAGTGGCTCTGCTCATGCTTCTAGCTCTGTTCATGATTATCAGAGTCAACACAGTACCTGGATTTGCTGCACCATGTTGCGTAGCTGTACCAAGAATTCTTTGGCTTCTTTTGCTCTGTCTGAAAGTCCATTTAGGGCCTGGGACAGCTGGCTCTGCATAAAACAAGGAAGGAAGAGGAAATGGGAATCAGAAGAGCATTTATTCCTATATAAGTTTCCTAGATGTACTGATATGTATCCCAGCAGATGATCAGAGTTACTTCTTTCCCATACCTATCCCAAACAAGTTAAGGAACCAAGCCGTCAGTTGAAGCTCAGATCAGGAAATTAATCAGAATTGATCTCCACCTAAAATGTTGAATTATTTAGTTTATTATATCCCACTGCACTCCCTCCCTAAAGAATGTTTGCTATCCAGCTGAAATGTTATTCTCATTCTATTAGCCACTTTTTACAGAATAGCAGGATGCAAAGCCAAAAATAAACTGAGTGATCCCATGAAGACAAGCAGGAAAAGAAAGTGCAGGAATTATAAAATAATTCTGCATGTGCTCAGTCCAAAGTACCAGCACTGGAGGGAGTACAGAGTAGTCAACTGAGTCCTTGATGTAATTCAGTCCATTATAAAGAGAAAACAGAGCAGAATTTGGGGATATCTTCCCTAAATATGATATTATAGCTGAGTAAATCAGCCCAAAGGCAATACTGATTGATGATGTTGGGATCTGTAGCCTGCTTCATTTGGAGGTACCAGACTGGGAAAGGTGTAATGCTGATCTACAAAATAATACATACATTAATTCTGAAACTTTTTCAAGATTTCTAGTTGTTTTATATCAACAGATGAACACAGTTATCCCACCCCAACTCTAGCCACAGAAGTCATAGATCTCCAGTTGGGAGAGAAAAACAGAGACTGTTTTCTTTGATTGCTACAATTAGTACTCATAATATGCTAATAGTGTATATTTTTGAATAATTCCTGTGGATTTTCTAATTATGGCCTTTTTAAAAAAAATGCTTTGAACAATCTTGCTTTCTTAACAACTATGTTATAAGTATGTCTGCAAACATTGTCCCTTCCTGACCTACAGTATGTTGCTCACAATCTGCATTTTCAAGTATACTGTACAGTGTATCCTACAAATTGAACTGAAGCAGGTCATCAGTGCTTCCTTGCAGGGCTGGCTATAAAATTCAATGGGTGACAGAAGATGGAAAGCAGTGGTGGTAGCCACCTGGCTGTTCTTCATAAATGCTTTGGTTGTATTTGCCCTACTTCATGTCTTGAGCCTCTAAACTAACTTGCTATCTAAGGTCTGGATTTTTCAGTGTGATACCCAGGGGCACCAAATACTGGATGTCATCTCCCTTAGCACATGATAGGGTTCTTGCCCTAACTGGTGCCTTCAAGTCAGCCTTGATCCCAGCAACTGCCTGGACTAGTCCCTGCAGTTTTCTTGGCAAGGTTTTTCAGAAGTGGTTTGCCATTGCCTACTTCCTAGGGTTCAGAGAGAGTGACTGGCCCAAGGTCAACCAACTGGCTTTGTGCCAAGGCAGGACTAGAACTAGGTTTCTAGCCTGATGCCTTCACCAAACTGGCTCTCTATTATATTATCTTAAAATTCTTTTAATTACAAAATAAGTTGAAATTGTATAGAACATTCATTGAATATAAGGTTTGGAAAGGACCTTGGAGATCCTCCAGTCTAACCTCTCTGCCCAGTGCAAAAATCCACTCCTATAGCATCCCCAACAAATGGTCATCCAGCCTCTGTTGAATACCTCTAGTAAAGGAGAGTCCACCTCCTCCTGTTTCACTGTTGAACAGCTCTTACCATTGGAATTTTTTCCTGATGTCCAACCAAAAAATACTTCCTTGTAATTTAAACCCATTGTCTCTTGTTCTGTTTTCTGGAACAACAAATAAACATTTCTGCTCCATCTTCTGCATTACAGCTTTCAGCACAGCTATCAGTGTTGTCTTCTCCAGACTAAATATACCCAACTCATCCAACTGTTCCTCAAAAGTTTCTCATACATTTTTCATAATTATCATGCTGCAAAGCAAAGGCTTAACCTCAAATGTAATATGTATTTCCAATAACACTTCTAAGCTTCACATGGAACCTAGAGGTGTGTTTAGAAAAATAAAATGATGGGTGGCTTCAGCACAGTGTTTTCTTTGGAAGAGTGTTCTCCTATCTAGAAAATAAATACATAAATACATTACTGGAAGGCTAGGAAGGTTAGTGCAGTGCAATTTTACCAGTTTGCCTGCTGGTGATTTTTTATGTGGACTATCCCCACAATGGTAACCATTTTGGGTAAGTGCACCCAACATGCTCTCAGAATTCTCCTGTGACAATTGGCTCCAAAAAGTTGGGGGGATCAGATTGAAGATTTAGACAATTTTCTCTTACCTCCCCCCACCCTTTACTGTTACAAAATTCCATGCCAGTCTACTCAGGGTTTATATGGACTGTGACAGGGATGCCATGTTCATCTTTATTTTGCAAATTCTATTTTCTAGAGCCTCCAAGATAGCATCCATTTCAAATCTGGGGGTCAACCCCAGTTAAAAAGCCACATGTAGTGGAAAGTGTCATGTTTCACAGCTAACGTGGCACATCTAACTTGACATTTAACTCATGTTCAGGAACTTACTTGTGGCAGGCAGACACAACACAGCTAGATTAGCCACTTTACTGCAGACAGCAGTGAAGATACACAAGAACTGCCTTCTGCAACACACAGAAATCAAACCCTATGTTTATGTCTCTCCTCCAGGGTTTAAATTCTAGACCTTTTCCTCCCACCTTTCAAGTCAATAGCATGAGAGGTTGTGGGGTGGGAAGGCTGAGACAGTAACAAAAGGAATTGTAGACATATACAACCAAGAGACCGAAGGGGAATCTGTTGGTAGCTTATCTCATAAATGCCAGCTTAATCCAGTTGGTGAAAAAACTTGGGAAGATATTATTAAAAATATCCCAAGAGACTCTGCCTTAACAAATTTACAAATAGAGAGTTGGAAATTCCTCTTGCAGTTTCCAAAATTGTGTATTCACTTCTAATATTAGCTTTAAAGACACCTTACTGAAGTCTGTGTAATTCTTGTTTTGTTGATCTCGCCAAGCTGGTTGGAACTTGGGAAAAAGAAATGTGGCTGTTCTTTCCTCAGCCTTGAAATTGAGAAGCACTCAGCTAATGTCTCTCCTTGTCAGATTCATTCTTTGCAGGTGCTAATGGAGTGCTACATACCTGCTCATTGACTGAGTACTATTCTTAGCCACTCTGTGGTTGAAGGAACCCTCACCATGTGTTTCTTTATTAAAGACATAATTTTATTTTTAATCCCATACAAAATGGTGTGGAGGAGGTACATTTTTGTGGCCTGGCCTCTCTTGGGTGGTTCACTGGGCGATTCTTCTGAGAAGAGGACAGCTGCTTCAGAACTGGAATTTCTTTTTTATAATCTATACACTTTTAGCAGTCAAGCTCTTTCAGTCAAGACAGTGCCTTGATTGCTAGAGGGAGAATGACAAGAAGGCAGCAAATGGGGCTGAGGCTGGCAAATTACCTACACTTTACTATCTGCTCCTTGCAATCAGTTGCTTCCACATTATGTAAATAGGGCAGTAAGAAGATGATTCAGTGTAACCTTTCCCAACCTGGTGCTCTCTTGATATCTTGGAGTTAGCTCCCAGAATCCTCAGCTAGCATGGCCTGAGGAGAGAGACTGCAATCTATCTGGATGATTGAGTCCAAAGGTGCATCAAAAAAACAGGGGAGCTTTTTAATCAGGAGTAACAATCAGCAGGACTCAAAGGCAAACAAGTACCAGGAACTATTAAACTGAATCAGTCTGGCCATCTTCATGTTTTCTAAGAAGTAGGCTGCTGTCTCTTTATTGAGTTGGCCAACCCCTTGCTTAGCTTTCCTCAGCCTGCTGCCTTCCACATGTTTTGAGACTGCAACTTCCAGAATTTCAAGCCATTAACTAGGCTGTCTGGGAATTCTGGGAGCTGCAGTCCACTACGTCCAGAGGGCCTCATGTTCAGGAAGCTTTTTGCTTCATAGTCTTGGCCTGGGCCTGGGCCCTGCCTGGGGGAGAGAGCTTGGCTAGTGGCTGGCAACCATTTGAAAGCTTCTGATTAGGGGGTGGGGGAGTAACAGTGTAGAAAGCCCTTTTAAAAAAAAAAAAGGCCCAGAATAGTTTAGAAAGGAATCTAAAATAAAACAAGCAGTTCCTCCAAAATTTCCCTAATACATCTTTGGGGAAGATGCCTTGGGAATATTCTTCACAACTTGACTGCCCTCTTTTAGAAAATGTTTAGAAGGATCCAGTCTCTTCAGTGCAACAAAAAGGTAACAATCATGGGAATTTTTATATCGCGAGGAAAAGACAACTGAAAGGTAAACTTTGGAAAAGATGTTCATGCGTGATACGGAGACAGACTTTTTTTTAATTCTCTCCCATTTTCATAGTCTAAGATTGTGGTTCCTGCCCTAAAGAAAGTGAAAAGTGTATGATCTAGTACAAAAAATAATGTTTGTTTAGTTTTTGGTTTTTGTTCTGCATTAGATACAATTCACTATCCACAGAATTTGGCAGCAGATATCAGCTTAAAGGAGCTTAAAAAAAGATTTCACATGTTGATGCAGGACAATATCAGGTAGCTCACTTGTGGTCGTTCAATAGAATTCCATGGGTAGAAGCAGAGAATATTGACTACTGAATGCTGAGGATGAGCAGAAGGAAAAGCCCATCATCTTCAGGCTCTTCTTGTTTGTGGGCTCTCAGAAGCAAAACAAAAATGGTACTTCTGGTCTATGCTAGTGTAGCATGCTGGATCAGGTAGAGATCTTGATTGTGTCATTTAGGAGTAAAAGTTCACCTGGCAATCAAACTAAAGCAAGTCGTTGAGAGGGCTGCTAAATTCTGGGATGATTGGAAGGCACAAACAGTGAACAGCCATCTTAGAATTTACATGTGTGAGATGAGTAATCATGTCTTGTAAATAGTGATTGTAAGAGAGAAAGGTGATGTTGGTCACATGTCTTAATATTTTTAACCTATGAAATTCTCCTTAGATGTCTGGGGCTTTAAGACTCATCCCTGGGCACCAAAATTGAGTGCCATGGCCAAG